AGACATAGAGGGAGAGAGAGAAGAAGGCAGACGAGAGAGGGGGAAGTGTGAGCTATGGTGACAATTGCCTGTTGAGTGCTGTTGTTGACATTTGGCAGCTGGTGCTGATGAGCTGTCTCTTATACACATCTAGATGTGTATAAGAGACAGCTACAATAGGAGGAGGAGGGATGGAGGAGGAGGAGGAGGAGGACGAGGAGATGGGGAGGGCGGAGGAGGAGGAAGAGAAGGGGAAGGAGGGGGAGAAGAAGAGGAGTAGGAGGAGGAGGAGGAGGAGGAGGAGGAGGACGAGGACAAAGAGGAAGAGGACGAGGATGGAGGGGGGGGGAAGAAGGAGAAGGACGAGGAGAAGAAGAAGGAGAAGAAGAAGGAGAAGAAGAAGGGGAAGGGGAGGAGGAGGAGTTGGAGGAGGAGGAGAAGGAGAAGAAGGAGAAGGGGATTGGAGGCGGCAGACAAGATGGAGAGAAAACTGAGGGCCGCCGAAGCGCAACAGGGACAACTGGGAGCACAGGTAGATCTTCAGAGAAAGATAGAACAAATTAAACCCCAGATGAATGCCCCAACAGCGAGGGGCCCTGTCGGCCAGAACTTAAGTTCACGAGCAGCAACCCAAAGGACAAAGTTCGCATCCATAATAAAATGAAAGGTCGTTTTGAACAGTCACAAACAGGTCCTGCACGAATAGGTATTGCACACAGTTTTCAAGACTGAGTTAGGGTCATGTCTCCTCGATGGAAAGTCATGTCTGTTCGGCAATGAGTCAAAGGCCACAGTCCCAGTCCAGTCATAATCCCACGAGTCAGTCCTGATTCAGACCAGGAGCCAAAAGACAGGTCCGATGGCCCAAAGCAGCAGCAGACCATGGGAAAAGATACTGGGACATACACTTTGCAACAACAGGTACAGGGCAGGAGTCCCAGACACTTGAGGTTGAATGTAGGCCACGCCAGGCCAGTCCAGCACTATAAAGGACTGACCAGCCTCCCATTTGGACAGATGCTCACTTCGCATGAGAGTGTGGAAGTGTCGTAGCACTTGTGCGCTGGTTGTGTGTGAGCTGCGCTGGGTTCAAGAGCAGCGCTAAGTGTGAAAGAAGAAGAGGGTGCTGGCTGGGAGGAAGGCAGCCATAGCGGCACCAGCGCTAGTTAGTATGTTAGTAGGGATAGTCAGTAGGAGACACCAGCGAGTAGTATTCAGAGTAGATCCTCGTGTGATAGGGAGTGTGCATGCATGATGAGTGAGAGTAGACCAGGACTATAAACAGAGGCAGAGAAGAGAGATCAAAGGGGAAGAAGTAAGCTATGGTGATACTTACCTGTTGAGGCGCTGTTGACGTTAGGCAGCTGGTGCTGATGAGCGCCAGGCCTGGGAGTTCATGTTGATAGAAGAAGACTTGTAACTCTGTTCGGCGCTGTACACTTTGAACTCACGATGTTCTCTCTCTAATTCTGGGTTTGATAATTGACTTCAGCTTCCTGGTTCTCATTCATTTTCTATTGGGCTTTGTATGAGACATCGCAATCTGTGAAATCTGGGTATGTGCATGTGATCTGAGGCACTCCAGCAAGTGATGACCAGTCGGGTTCCCTGCAATTTGGTATCGAAGAAGAACTTGTTACTCTCACTGGATGCGCTGGCATGATCAAGGCCGGCGAGAAGGATAAGCTGGCTTGAGTATAGCTGGCCAGAGATGAAGTAAGAGGTGAGGTGAAGAGGTGTTGGATTGGGATAGACGGGGAAGTTTGCCGAAGAAGAAGGGGCTAGTGAGGAGAAGACTTACCTGCGATTGGAGAGATTGGAGTGAACGTGGAGTCTTCATCAACGGCTACAAAGAAGAGCAGCACCTCCTGCCCTACCTACCTTGTTGATTGCAAACCTGTATGTTGTGTATCCTTTTTGCCCCCTCCATTCTGGTGGTCGCTGCTGCTGTCTGGACGAAATCGTGGCCTGGTCAGGTCTGACAGATAGGACTAGACAGTCGGCATCTGGTCTTCGTGTTAGCCATCTGGTCTGTCAATAGGTAAGGAAGATAGGTTGAGGCAGGGAACTGTGTACTGCCACGTCAGAGTATAAGTGGCTGAGAACAGGGAAAATCGTGATAACTTGGATTTGTTTTTTCTCTAACGAAAGTGACCAGTCAGACCATTGAAGGCATAGACCAGCTACGTAACTAAACAGGCATCAAACAAAGGAAGAAGAAAAAAAAAAAAAAAGAGGAGTTCCTACTTTGCACATTGAGTAGGAAAACGTTATATATTTCCTGCATTATTAAAATTTTGTTACCCTGAAGCAGCGACATCCAGACTTCTGAAAAAAATAAAATAAAATAAAATCATTACAGATCCCATCCACTCAAGCAGATAAGGTTCAGGGGTAGCAACTTGGTGGTCCAGCGGAGGATCTCCTGTGCTGTCTTCCACCATGGATGACTACCCCATGTACGGGATGGTGGCACTCTCCATTCTCTGGGGACCCTTATTCCGATTTTTCTTTCCTCTTGGCTTTGGGAAAATGTGCACCTCCCGCATGATGATGAGATCCGGAACTGCGAAACCCGGACTCTCAGCGGCAGAGCAGGCAGAAGTAGACCGCCGCTTAGCTGAGAAAAAGAACAGAAAAAGAAACAGAAAGAAGAAGAGTCGAGGAAGAAAACTCAGCTAGAAGAAGAAAGAATTAAAAAAGAGTTGAAAGAAAAGATGGAGAAAGAATTGCAGGAAGAATTAAAGACTACAGAGGAAGACGATGACGCAGACAGACTCATCAGACGTCGAACTGAAAGGAGCGAAAGCAGCCAGACTGGTGGGTTGAATATCCAGGTCAGTCCCTTAAATTGGTATGACCACAGATGG